GGAGTTTCTAAAAATAACAGTCTTCATTGTTGCAGGGTGTGGTTTGCGATGCTGCACAGGTGCAATGGATGCACCTGTGCGGCATCTCCAATCACGCCTCGCCGGCTTAAAAGTCTAGATTTTGAGTTAATGTTGTTGTTGTTATGTTGACCTGGCAGTGGGAGAGCTGCAGCTGTGTGTGTCCAGCAACCCTCATTAATCAAATAAAAATGATCAAAATACCACAGGGTCTGTTGTGCATGTTTAAAGGGATGTCGAAACCCAGGATGGGGGGCACGGCAGACCCACGACCAGGCCGGCAAGGTTGAGGAGCTGGCCCGAATGGTGGCTGAAATGGTGGCTATACAGTGGAGTGGGAGAGAAGACGTTGGTGCCTGTACCAGGGAGTCTGTGTGACCGAGCCAAAGGTCGACGTGTGGTTGTGGTCTTGTCCTGCCTTCATTATTGTGGTTTATGTGCTCTTGGGTGGTGTTTTTCTCCTGTGTGCAGGAGGATGGAGGCTGGTCTGTGCTGGGAGACATAGGTACCAGGCTAGTAGTCTAGCTGCACCTAGGTGGGTCTGGGGCGGGCTTGGGGTTCTGTGTGAGCTCCACCTCCAGGCTGGGGCTCTGGCTGGGCCTTGGCGGCTTGGGTCCGGGTTGGTGTGTGGCGCTTGGCCCCAGCGTCTGTGGGGCTCGGCAGTACCCCTGCTGTGGGCCCTGGAGCAGCCCTGGTCCAAGGGCAGGCTGTTGCCCTTGGTGGATTCCAGGGAACGGGAGTGCCTACCAGGATCAGCGGGGTTGCTGGGTCCAGGGAGGGGGGACTTTACATAGAGTATGAGAATGTGAGTGTGTGTACAGTGTTCACTTCTGTTTGTCTCCATGTTGGGCGCGTGCTGAGTATTTGTATATGTGTGCATGAGGGTGGCAATGCATGTTTGTGTCTGTGTGTGCCTGTTTGTCTGTGTTTATTGATGGATGGACTTTTATGGTTTCTTGACTGACATTATGCTTTATATGATGGTGTCCTCATTGTTAGGGATTTTAATGTTCACGTTCTGTTAATGAGCCAGTGGCAAAGGACTTTGTAGACATCACGGACACTTTTAACCTTGTGTTTCATTCCACACATAAAGGTGGACACACACTTGATCTTCATTTATGTTCTTGTGATGCAGAGTTCTCTGATCACATCCCTGTGTTATTTGAAGTTCCTCTTTCAGGTACCACAGTCTTTTTTAAATATATGTTTGATTGTTTGTGCTTTTCTTATTTGTGCCTATACCACAGTTAAACCGCACTCTCCTGCTCGCTGTAGGCGCCAGTATACCCTCTGTATCGATTGCTTCACGACATCATCACAGATTCAGCCACATAGACCTGCTGCTTCTGGCCATTTGCACTCTACTCCTGCACTCCGTAGACATTGAGGGTTCTTGGGAGGGGTTGAGCTGACACCAGCTGTTGTCTCGCAAACGGTCATTGGCATCATGCCCCCCACCCCCCTTCGCCTCTCTGGGGCTGCAGGCTGGCCCGGTCGGGGGTCTGGACTGGTGGGCTCCTCTGCTGCTGCGTAGGCTGGGGTAACTGTCATGCGTAGTACTGGCACAAGATGGTGCTAAACATAGTCTAAAAATTTTAACTTTAAGCACTTATTCCCTAAATCCAGTTTTTGAGAGCAGGGCTCCACGCTTCAAATAGTCTTCACACATGTGGTGTTTCATGTCCACTTTAACCCTGCATTTCAACGTACAACTACTTGTATAGATGCCCTTATCCACTTTAAATAGATAAGGGCATCTATTACATTTTAAAACAGAGAAGGTGGACAGATACCCCACCAGCACTTTAATATTAACATATCAATGAAAAAACTTTGTTCGTAAATGTAAACAGCTTTTTTGCTAATACATAATTCATTTTTAATCATCCTGTAGATATATACAGTGAACCATGTCACACAGTGCTCCCTTAATTTCAGATGTGATTTTGTTTTTAAGTAAAATTTACTTTTTAAAATGATGATGTAGGCTTGTGTTTCTGAGCTGATTAAAAGCTTTGAAAAGCGTTGTTAATCTGTAGAGCCAGCACCCCAATACCGGAAATCTGAATCGGCTCTTTGTTTAAGAAATCCTAATGTTTGCTCCTGTGAGTATTACCAAGTAGTCTTTGAAGGAGTTAGATGGAGCTGCTGGGTGAGGGGACTCCCCCAGTTCTAAGTGCCTCTATCCTCCAGATGTCTACCCTGCCTACTCTGATAAAAACCAGTGGGCATGAATAGCTTTGCAGGCCCAGTATTTCACCAGCCACACTGTTGCAGAAGCCCCCTTCTACATAGGTGGACTTGATGGATTCAATTTAGTGGCTTGGAAAACTAAGCTCCAAGGTGTTACTGTTTATTTAAAGGCTAATACTCAGATTTTTACATTTACTGCTTAGCAGCGGGTTAAAAAGGGAATGTCCACAATTTAGACTTTCTGAAGATTGTTTTAGTAAAGCAATTTAGCAGGAGCAAAGCAAACAACAAACCAAGTAATAATAATAACCACATAATAATCAAATGACTTGAATTATACTTATCCAATTAACCTACTCTGAGCTAACACTGATTTTGTTCTGATCTTTGAGAGGAGAGAGACTGAGGAGAGAACAGGCATGCCTTGGCCACCGACGCACTCATCTCTCCTTCATGCTGATAATAATAATAATCCAACAGGAAAACAGCAAAACTTGTTAATTCAGTCCATCAATAATAACATTGATAGAGTCACTAGCGTTTTGTTTTTATAAGGTGTTGTTTTTATGTATTGTTATGATCCAATGTTGTCAGTGTTTGTTTTATGTGTGACTCCTCCCACCAGAGGATGGCTGTGGGTTTTTTC